AGGAGGGGGCACATTCTCCACCTAGAAGGGGAGGGGGCAACAGGGGACACCTCGCGTGTTCCCATGAGCATCTGCGGAGCCATCGGGACCCGGCAACCCTGCCGGGGACCAGGGATGAGCACTGACTCAGTCAACACCCACTCTCACTATTACAGGGCAACTCCAGCATAAAACGGGGTGCCTGCCTGTGGGTCCTCACCTGCGCGCTTAAAGGGGACTCGCACTGCAGGCGCACCCAAAGGGTTAACAGAGGTTTATTCACAAGGGAAGGGGAGCGAGGAGATGTACGACTCAGGGAGAAAAGAGGGAGATAAAGTCTTCAATGCGTCCTACCCGCTCCACTGACCTGGATCCCAAATGACCCACCAAGACCAAACCCGCCTGGCCAAGAGCAGGAGCCAAGTGAGCCCCGACCCCACTCACAGGGCTGGTTTCATTTACAGAGAAAGTGGCTGCTTAACTCCGCCCTCAGGGCCTCGCAACCGCCCCTTGGGGATCCCGGGATGTGTAGTTCCCAGCGTCTTGATGGCGTGGGGGTGGCGTCCACAAAGCCCATATGGAGTGTGCGCAGGACAGCCTTTCCCCCTAACATCATGAGGAACACCCGTGGGGGCGCGGAGGGGAGCCAGGCCTGGGCGACGACCATGAAACCGCCTCATGACGACGCCCGGAAGAGAAAGTGACAGACGGTTCCAGAAGCAGAGACAGACGAGGTGGGGCTGGGAGGGCCGGGGCCACGGACCGCGGGGAGCACAGGGGCAGGGAGGACACTGAACCGCCTCCGGCCGGCAGCGCAGCCACATGGGGTCTCAGAGCAAAGATCATTTTCTAAAGACTTAATTTTCCCTCGGGTGTATGTTCTTTACTAGCCCAGCAGCCCCTGAACAGCCTGGCGCAGGCGCAGAGCGGCGGCCCCCTGGCCACCCAGGACCACCCACTCTCGAGGTCCACCACTGTGGACACAGCTGGGCCGTCCCGCCGTGGCAGGCCCACGTGCGCATGTTTTTCATTGTCCTCTACTCTTACTAAAAAGCAAGACGTCTGCAGGCCGATGTCCTATTTCTACAGGAAAACACACGGCGCTCGCTGGCCATCTGGCCTCCTCGGGACAGAACAAAGAGGGCCTCTTCTTCTGGAGCCGAATATCGGCCTTTCAAGTTGGGGGTGATCTGACAAAGCCTTGCAAGAGCCTCCCCCGCCTCCTGCCGAGGCTGAAATGGGACTGGTCAGAGGGGAGTTTTATTTACTGCAGGCTCTTAGTGTGAGGACAGCAGGGGCCGCGAGTCAAATGCACACACGGCTGGGGTCATGTGGCCAGCAGGTCCCTCCACCGCAGCGTCGTGAGGTGGAGCTGGACACCACTGTCCCTGCCTGCCCCCCTGAGCCGCAGGCCCGCCTGGGGTGGAGGCCGCTAAGTGGGTAGTTTTCAGGTGTGATGAAATGGATTCGTCTTGTAAGAAATTCATGAGCCAAAACAACAGCTAAAAGCTCAGGCTTGCACCTAACAGAATTTTTTTTTTTTTTTTTTTTTCAAGATTTATTTATTTATTTATACAAGCACTGGGTACAGTCAGAAGCGCGGGAGGGTGAGAGAATCCACCAGAGCCAGAGCGGGGAGCAGAGCAGGCAGAGGGACCGAAGTACACTGCTGAGGGGAGCAGCGGGCGGCAGGAGAGGTCTGCGCGCCATGTGGGACCCTCCTCCGGTGGCCGGGGAGCAGCCGGGGATCGAACCGGCGCTGCAGAGGCTGCGGGCAGCTTCGCAACCCAGCGCTCAACCGCTGCACCACCGGGGAGGCCCAACTAACAGAATCTTATTCAATCCTTCCCGTGGCCACAGGGAGAGGACTGACCCCTCCCCCTGGCCCCCCAGTCCCAGCCGCCCAGTCCTGGGCATGTGACCAGCGAGAAGGGGTGGGAAGGCTCAGACAGGGCTCCGGGCAAGGAGAGGAGCCCTAGGCCCCAGCCAGGCGGGGAGAGGGCCGCGAGGTGGAGGTCAGGGAAGGCCCCTGGGCCCGGGCATCTCGGAGGGGAGGACTTGCGGGCAAGCAGGAGAGAGTGTATGAGTGCCAGAGGACGCTGAGACGTGTGCCAGCTTCTCAACGTGCCCGCCCAAGGATTCTCCTTGTGGATACTTGCTAATTCACTCAACAGAGAAACAGAGATGAAGAAACACAAAAGCTCAGCCTCAGGAAGTGAACCAAAGACACTGCAGAAATGCAGCAGCAAGAAGGACTCACTAGCGGTCACCCACCACCGGGCCCCGCACGCCCATCGCTCAAAGGTAGCGGCAAAGCCAAGGCTCTCTGGTGCCAACACGTGCACTTATGTTGCACCATCTGTTTGCACAGCCACAGGGTCTCAGGGCTCTGTTCTCTCTGTGCATATGAGTGCAAACCCGTTCCAACAGGACATTGACACACCAGGACGTCTCGAATTCCTGAGGACCCCGGTTTGGACAAGCATCCAAACCCCAGGGCACACGACTGCCTCCACGCTGGGCTGGCAGCTGGACTGCCCAAGATGGACACCGTGTGAGCATTAGCGCCTCGAGCCACATGTGCATCTGGCTTTCTGGAGTCAGAGCCCCTGGAGAAGAAGCAGGCGGTAACTGCCAGGGGCTGAATGGTGCCCCCCAAAGATACGCCCTGCCCTCAGCCCAGCACCTGTGCATGCAACCCGATCTGGAAAGGGGGGGTCTTTGCAGATGTCATCAATGAAGAGTGCTCAGGAGGCGGGGCCTGACCCCAGAGATGGGGTCCTCGCAATTGGAGGAGAGACACAGCGAAAACAGCCAGTGATGATGCAGGTAGGGACTGAGGAGGGGCGCCCAGCAGCCCAGGACTGACCAGCAGCTGGAGGGGGCGGGCGGACTGGGGAGCTCAGAGAGCCCGGCCCCAACACTTCGATTCTGCACTTCCGGCCACAAAGCTGGGAGACAGTTGTTCTAAACCAAAGAGCACAATGTGGATGGCACCCTATTGGCCCCAGGACACTGGGGTCTACCCCGGAACAAAGAATCGGTCATGGGAAACAGGTGGCGTGGCTTCAACAGGCATGGTTTCCAATTCCACCTCTGCTCCTGCCGCCGGCACCACGCTCTGAGCAGGAAATTCTCTCTCCACACTGTTTACAATCTGGATAAAACGCCTCCTCTGCTAGGACTTACCTATTGGGAAGGCACCACATTCTAGAAGCTTCTGGACAGGCGTCATGGGCTTTGTGCTGTGACAACCACCCTGGCAAGCCCGGGGGGAGAATGTGCCCCACACACATCACCACTGATTTGATTAAAAAGTAAAAAGCATCCCATGTACTTGGCCCAGAGCAACCACACAAGCGCCTGACGTACGAGCGTTGGCAGCAGACGGCCATCGTGCCTCCACTCATGCTGCTTTCAAACTGCTCAAGTATTTTTAACTCATTTAAGAAAGTAAGACACAGCAGTGGCAGCCCCCACCCCTGCCTTGCCCCCCTGTCATTCTGTCAAAGGGAAGGTTTTTGTGCTGCAGCAAAGCAGCCCAAGCCAGCGCGGGCGCCCAGACCCGCGAGCGAGCACAGCTGTGCCTCCAAACAGCTGCGGCCAAACGCTTGGCAATTTGCTGCCCGACTTCACCCAGAGTTTTTGGGCCCATCCATAAAATATCAATTTTAAATATTTTCCACTCAGGAGCAGCCACACAGACCGGACATCCACTGCGCAGGGACACCGGCAGCAGGGGGGAGCGGGGCGGGCCCCCTGCGCTGAATTAAAAGAAAAGGACAGAAGGGCGCCACTCGGCCGGGCTGGGCCAGGCTTCGGAGAAAACCTCCTGGCGGCCCTTCCTGCTGCATTTTTCTCCTTCCCACAGCGGCTCCTTCCAATGCATTCCTGACCCGTCCCTACACCGGCCACCCTCTCACCTGCTGCTGCTTTCCAGGGCGCATGCTGCAGGCATGCCCTGATCAGAGCTGGCTCACCACTCTGACGCAGTGCCCAACACACCTCCACACCCCACTCACCAGGGACTAATGAGAGGTTTTAATAACAGGTGTTGGGGGGCCATGGGTCTCTCACCGGGCACCCCAACCTTTGGGTCTGGGTAAGCTTGTGGGGTGGGGCTGCCCTGGGCACATCGAACGCCCAACAGCATCTCTGGCTTAGAGGACAGCAGCCCCCCTTCCAGGCTGTTACCTGCCATGGACTGATGCCCCGTGGGGTGAAATCGCCCCCACTGCGCACCACGCACAAGAGCCTGTCAGAGTCATAACTTGGGGTTTGAGCCCCTGCTCCACTCCCCAGCACCCTGGTTCCCATCCTCTGCTGCCCCCACTTGGATCCCCTTCACCTCTGCGGGGGCCTCTCAGTGCTGCATCCACCGCGGCCCTGGAAGACGCCCAGGGCTTGGTGACAGCTGGAAGCCACCGCGGAGGATGCAGAATCTGCAGCCCGCGCCCCGCCCCGCACACCCCACTGAGGGAAGCCACCAGGATCCGCTGGAGGGGGACCCCGTCTGAGCTGTGCCAGTCCTATAGGACTTGCCCTCCTGATGCCATCTGCCTATGAGGGGCACCTCCACGTGAAGACCCATGGGTGTGCAACACATGTGTGTAACAAGCCTATTGAACGACGCCATGGCGTGGCTGGAACGCCGGCGTCACGGTCGCCTGTGAGGAGGCCCACCAGTCCGTGGACAGGCAAGGGGCGTCCCTGGCAGCTGCTTCCAATCCAGGGAGATTCCGGAATTGTTGGAATTCGGGGACGCGGGAAAACGAGACACAAGCTGCCAGGCGAGGTGTCCACCCAGACGCCAGCATAACGTGCAAGCGCAGGTCAAGGTGCGGCCCGAGACACACCTGGCGGCCGGGAGGTGCGCCAAGTCCCGTGGGCGCTGAGTGGCCTCGGCCTCGGGGCCTCCAGGTGGGCTGTTTGCTCAGCCGCGGGTCTGGGGCTCACAGCGCGGGGCCGTGCGCGCCACGTGGGGGCGCCTAAGGAAACCCCAGAAACAGGCCACACCTTACCTGGTCCCAGGGAGAGACGGTGCCGCCGAAGCCCATGAACAGGTAGCCCATGGCCACCAGGCACATCCAGATGACCAGCGAGAAGAGGCGGAGCAGCTTCTTGAACACAGACTCGATGCAGACGAGGATGAATATGGCAAAGAAAATGGCCAGGGCCGTGGGGACTGTGATGAGAAACGCCACGTGGTTTTCCGCTTCCTGCGGGAGGGAAATACAGAGACAGGCACAGTTCAGAAACAGCGCCGACGGTGCAGATCAGCATGTCACCCACATGAATCCATTCCGAATACAGCGCGCTGTAAGCCTGATTCACCAGCAGAGTTCAAATGTCTGAAAATTTAAGTTTCCTGTGAAATAATCAAGCTTTTCACACAAACAGCCTGTACGAGATGTTTAAATGCTGCAATACAGCTGGACCATCCAATCCAATTTTGCCTGACAGAGGGAGAAATGGCTTGTATTCAAGAAATGAATGTAAGAGCACAGAGCAACGGGATTAAATCAGACAAGCAACTTCTCTGCGGGGCTTCGGAGTCAGAAATGACTGGACTTAGAAAACGAAGGCTTCCGAGGGCGTTTGAAATGGTTCATTTTAAAAAAAGGAAAACCGATCTCCGTCTCCCTCTGTAAACTGATGAGCTCTCATTGTAATGCAGGATAATTAATGTTTTAATGGGCTCACAGGTTAACAGAAAAGGGGCGGGGAGCACTAACTACAGAGATGAGCGTGGGACAACCCAGAGGGCGCCATTTGGCCAGTTCCTTGCCCACCTCTCTCTGGCTCCAGCAGCAAAAAAAAAAAAAAAAAAAGGCATTTATTATTAGCCTCTTCCTAATGCATCTTTTAAAATCCACTCTGGCGCCCCAGTGCTCACTTTCCCTCCGCGCACACGAGGGCACGCTACCGCACGCCACACACCTGCAGTGTGAAGTCGAGATACCATCCTCCCTCGGGCCGCAGCATCTGCAAGAGAAGCTGCTAGAACCTTGCTGTGAGCGGCTTTGCTACGGTCTTTATTTTTTTTTAAGATTTATTTATTTATTATTTATACAAGCACTGGGTACAGTCAGAAGCGCGGGAGGGTGAGAGAATTCACCAGAACAGGCAGACTGATGAAATACACTGCTGAGGGGAGCAGCGGGCGGCAGGAGAGGTCTGCGCGCCATGCGGGACCCTTGCTGGCGGCCGGGGATCGAACCAGCGTTGCAGAGGCTGCAGGCAGCCTCGCAACCCAGCGCTCAACAGCTGCGCCACTGGGGAGGCCCCACAATGGTTTTTAATCCTCACTCAGACACTCAGTTCTCAGTGAGCCTCAGGTTGTCCACCCTCCTGGCCTGGACGGCACCGAGTCACGGCTGCCGAAGGACACGCGCGTATCGGTTCTTCCTGTCTGTACTACACGTTCTTAAAAACGTATCTCGTTCCTCAATTCTCCAACAAAACACATTTCTTCAGGGAAAAACTGTTTACTCAAAGAACTCACTTGGGTTCTGGATGACTAGATTTTAGACCACTGAGAGCTCTGGTAATCCTGGCCTGTGTGTTCTGGATTTCCAAACACTAGACCCTGGTGCTTCATACACCAGACCCGGCTCTCTGTCCCCCCGCAGCCCTAACTTCACACTGAGATGGCCACGCCCAGATGCCAAGCCACCAGCCGTGGAGAGGCGGAGAAGCGGGGCTGGCAGGCAAAAGACCAGGCAGAATCCGTCAACACCGTGATTCAACTGTGTTAAGTGACACCTGGAAAGAGGTAACAGCAAAAACAACCAAATACGTGTGTCCACACATGTGTGCACACGTGCACATGTACCCAAAGGTGTGCCTGTGTGGGCATATCTGTGCACAAATAAATGAAACTGTCTGCAGCACACTCTGTCTTACCCACATTAACCCCCTACCACACACAGTCCTGAGGAGGAGGCCCTGGGCCGGAGCTGCTCTACCAGTGAGAAAACCGAGACCCCAAGACCGAAGCAGTTGCCACAGCTGTGCAGCTGGAGGAGAGCGCTGGGCCCACTCTGAGGCCCAGCCCACAGCTCTGCCCTCAGACCACGCACCAGCCCTTGTGCGGCCGAGGAGCTCGTGCTTCCAAGACTGGGCAAAGTGCAGAGGACGGACTGCGACAGCCGGTCCTCTCCCTTGTGTCTATTCCTCCGCCGACTGATAGCCAAAGCTGCACCCTTCCTCAGACCTCCTGGCAAAGGGGGTTGGCGTCACCAGCTGCGGCCCAGCACTCAGACCCACCCTGCCCAGGAGGGCGTGCCCTCTGCGGAGGGACAGCCTGGCAGGCGGATCGTTGCAGAGAAGCTCGGGAAACCCCCAAGGGGTGTTCCGTGTCCCCCCACTCCGGTCCTCTTGTTATGAATTCCCACGTTAGTCATGCATATTTTTGCACCATTTTCTGGAGAAATAAGGGTCAGTAAAATCACTGATCGTCCCCCATGCGGGTTTCCCGAGCTTCTCTGCAACGATCCGCCTGCCAGGCCGTCCCTCCTCAGAGGGCACACAGCAGGGCTCCAAGTCATCGCGGGTTTGAGATGCTGGAGTCTCGCTCTCACTTTTTAAAAATTTAGTATCAGGGTCTCGACGGCTGAGAAGGGAGCTGGCCGCGGGCGACGTCACCCCGGGCTGCAGACAGTGCCGGGGCCCCTCATAGTCTCAGCGCTTTCATTTCTTTCAAAATCAGAAAAAACCCCAAGCTTTTAGGGTCAAAGACCACACTCATCTTCTCGCCAGCACAGCTGGAAACTCTAATTTTGAATGCATTTTTAGGGAGAAGGGAAGGACCCCCGTCACAAAGCCACCCTAGGGGGCCGGTGGGCACCCTCCTCCCAGGCGCATGACGTCACAGGTGGGTCCCCCACACCAGAGAAGCCCCTGCAACTTCCAACAGCACCGAGCCTGGTGGGAGACTGATCCCGGGTGGCCGGTGGCCAGGACAGTCATCGCAGTTTCAGAAGCTGTGGCTTGACCCTGGCCAGCCCCGCACCCCTGAAGAAAGGGGCTCCTCGAGACAGAGAACTGCCATCCGCTTATTGTGCATGTGCCTTTTGAACTCTAGGCCCAAATAAGCCTTCATCCAGGCTTCTCCCCAACATGGAGTCTGCGACGGGGGCCTCAAGGAATAAACAGCCGCGTTCACGCAAGCACACGCTGCGAGCCACGTTTGCCCCCGTTTGCTGTTTGCATCACAAGCTTTTTGGGGGTGAAATAAATGAAATGGAGGCACGCCTCGGCCAGGGGCTGCCTGGTTGCCTCGCCCCCTGCTCTGTTTCTGGGGGACACACGATGCAGGGAGGCCAGGGGCTGTGTTCTCACCGGGAGCCGGATTTTCAAAATTCAGAGTCTACGACCAGCAGAGGAGCCGACAGGAAAGCAAACTAAAGTGTGAAAAACATCGTTGCTCTAAAATACATCTGTGCGCGTCCCCCCACCCGCTCCCTTTGTGGGGAGACACTGCAATGTAATGCAAACTAAACGGAACGTGCTGAAGCGCTTGCAGGAGGGGCTGTGAGCCCGGCGCAGGATGGGCGCCCCCTTGGTCTTGTCAAACATCTTGTCCTTCTGCTTTCCTGCTCTTTCTGGTAATCCTGAACGGCTTCTCACTGCGGTGGTGCCCGGACACCCCTGGCTTTTATTTATTATGTGACAATTCCTTTGTGTCTCGGAGGCTTTTCCGGGGGGGCAACCGATCACGTGTCTTCACTTTCTTCCACGTATGTTCTTCATCGTTTGTTAAACTGCACTATTTTCCCCTCAGATGGTAAAGGAGAGTCTGCTGAGAAACACTGCTTTTGCACAAAAAAGATACCTGAGTGCAGGGTATGGAGCCCACGCGTGGACGCTGGACCCCGCTCCACCCCCTACTGCTGTGTACCCGGCAGCAGTCGCTTAGTCTGACAGCGAAGCGACGCCAACCCGGGTGAGGACAGGCGGGCGCTGGGGGCCCGGCAGCAGGCAGGGGCGCAGTGGGCTCTGCACCCCCGCTCCCGGCATGCCCTGGGCCAGAATCCAGACTGGAGGGTGCTGGCAAGAGGGCGAGCGCTGAGCCGCGGCTGGCGGGAGAGGGGGGAGGGCAGGCCGCTCCCTGCAGCTCTGGCACTTTGGCCCAGGCTCCCTGTTCTCCGCGGCGGCCATCACCCTGACCTCGGGGACTGCCCCCTCGGGTGCCCACCCAAGGAGCTCTCCGGACCCGGCATGGCCCTGCCTCTGGGCGAGCCCACAACCGCGCTGGCAGCTTTGCTCCGGGGCCGGGGTGCTCGGCTCTGGACCCGACCCGGCTGTCTGGTATTTGCCCGCAGGGGGTGGGTGACTTCAGTGTGATGGGGAGTCTCTGTTCTGAAATGTGTCACTCTGCTCCTCGTCTTGCTCTACCTTTAAGGCCTTTGAGCCACTAGAGTGTGAGGACTCTTCTTTTTGTGCCCGGGCCGGGGTGGGGCTTGTGGCGGGCGTGGACCCTTAGAACAGGCAACTGGGGCTTTTCCCTTTCACAGTCTGGGGTCCTGGACACCCCGTGGTTCCACCTGCCGTCAGTGTCAGCTCCTGGCCGGCAGTGAGCTGCTGGTGTGGGCGGCGGTGCATTGGCCGGGAGATGGCCACCCGCGGTGAGTCAGCCGCCTGGGGAGAGATCGGCTGCCCCATGGCACTGACGCCAGGAGCACATGTGGCTTCTCTAGAGTCTGTGTCTTTTTGCTTCAAATACGTGCGATTTATTCCCAACCCTTAAATAGAAAAGCTGGCTTGGACCTGTGGAGACGTGTGTGCGTGTGCAACTCACTTCTAGTCATTAGCTCCAACGTTTGAACCGACGGCCATCTTTCCGCGTGGGAGTCAGCAGCTCTTGCGTCTTTGCTCTCTAAGTCCCATGTGAAAGCCTCCTTTTCTCCACGGCATTGGAAACTACATGGCAACTTCTTGGCTTGGTAGGTCCAAGATGGCATCTGAAGTTCTGTAGCAAAGTAACTTCCCTTTCTCCTTCAAGGCCAGTCTAAGATGCCCAAGATGGTGCCTGAGGCCACATGGTCTCTGGAACTCTCTTACTGCCCAGAATTTTGATTCTTTGCTTTCAATCTCTTTCTGAGATGTTTGCATTCAGTCTGTGTTGTCCTTTGCTAGCATGGGTTAAGTTCTGTGACTCTGGCTTTTATTTATGACTATTCCCTGACCTCTCCTGAATGTAAAACTAAAACTTCAA